GCTCGGCACGGCACGGCACGGCGGCCCGAGGGGTGCGGGGCCTCCCGAAATTTCTCGGCGGGGGTTTAGAGAAGAACCAAACAAACCTTGTGAAAACATGCCTGTTGGTCTCAGGTTTTGCTTAAAAAGGGGGGGGGGGGGAGTTATATAAACGAGGATTATCCCCTGCTTATCTTGTCTTGCTAGGGGGATTGGAAAATTCCAACATCTGGATTTGCGGAGTTCCTTTCATTTGTTCCTTTTTTTGCTTTCTCTTTTTTTTTTTTTTTTCCTTTTTCCCCTAGGAGATGTTTTCCACACTCCAGATCTGCTAGATAAGTTGGATACGAAGCCCAGCAGATCACTCGTGTTTGGCCAAAGGCCATGGCATGTGTCTGTGGAGCCGCATCGTAATACTTCTTCAGGGCATGGGTAGCTTCTGCATCAACATCTTGGTATAGGAGCCTCCTGTTGCTCCTGCCCTCTGCCTCTGCTCCCTCCTGGCTGTGCGGCACAGCAGGGCTTAACCTGTGAGCTGGTACCCAAGGGACTGATAGCCCCTCGTATTAGAAACCTCAGCAAAATCAGGGTGGGTGTGGGCATGGAGGGGAGGGAAATGAAGTCAGAAAAAGCAGTTCTTCTCCCTGACTGTACAACTATCCTTTCTGAAGCCCTCATTTCTTCCAAAATACTCTGTGCGGGGCTACCGCAGACAGGAATAAGAAATGCCAATGTTACAGATCTGGGCTACGCACACTGACCTTAACCTGGTCTATTTCTGTATCATCACTCATAGGGATAGCAGTGTGAACAAGGACTAAGTAACATTGGCAGGAGCTGTTTAAATGATAAGACAAAGTATTTTTTAGATAGTTAGGCAAATATATTTGTCAGATAACACTGCATGTGCAATAAAGCTAAGATGAGGAGTCAAAGGAATTTGGAACCCAAAGCAGCAGCATTTTCTCAGGGTTTCATGTATTCTAAGTGCATCATTTTGTCAGTACAGAGGAGGTGTTCTACATAGTTTCTGAAAATATATTTACACCTTTCAATATGGCGGCACTATTGTGCTCGCACACAGGATAAAGCCGGGTCTCAGTAACTGCAACAATAGTGAGATACCTCACATGACTGAACAGATGAGCCACTGTTGTGGTAGGCTCTCTTGTTACTCTCTTTGCCTCATTTTAGAAAGAAATTTGCAACACCAGTTTTTTAATAGAGATGGATCAGGTATTGCATTCCCTCTCCATCTGCTGTGCCCTTCGCCCTCTTAAAAAATTACAGGGGGTCAATTTGATCACAAGCCTGAAACAGATTTTGAAAGAAACCTATTTACCATATTGAAAATAAACAAAAGATTCTCCAGCTTATTAGGCTTCATAAAATGCTGACCACTCTTCTCACCTTTTTCTTTCACTGGGACATTTTGTTATCTCTGTCTATTGGCGTGTTCATTTGGCAATATGTTCCCTATTTTAGCAGCAATAAAGTAAA